GTCTTTATTTGCGAAAAACTGAACAAGGTGCTGACTTACAGTCTCATCTGAATTGAACGTTATACCACGCAAGGAGTTTTGAAGAGAGCGAAACAAGTGGAAATCTGATGGTGCAAGGTCAGGCAAGTATGGTGGGTGTGGCAACACATCTCATCCAAGCTCCAATAATTTTTGACAGGTGATCAAACTTGTGTGTGGTCTCGCGATGCCACGATGAAACACAACGCCTTTACAATTAACAAGTTCTAGACATTTCTGGATGATGGATTCGTTCAAACTGTCCAATTGCCGACAGTACACATTCAAATTGATTGGTTCCTTGGTAGGAGCTTGAAAAACACAACACTTTTAAAATCCCACCACACTGAGAGCATAACCTTCCTCTGATTAATGTCTGCTTTCAATGTCATTTGAAGCGAATCATCACATAGGGACCAAGACCGTTTGCACACCACATTGTTATAAACAAACCACTTCTCATCACCAGTTATCAGTCACTTCAAAAAAGAATCGTTTTCCTCACATTTAATGAGCATAGTGCAGATGTTTATACACACCGTCAAATGGACTTCTTTGAGTTCATGTGGAACCCAAATATCAAGCTTGCTTACGTATCCCAGCTTCTTCAGGTGGTCATGAACGCTTGAATGATGGATGTTCAATGTTTCTGTAATCCCTCGTGTCATGTAATGTGGGTTTGACTCGACTGATGCCTTTATTTTCTCATCATCAACCTTGATGGACCTCCCTGACTGAGGAGCATCACTGAGAACAAAATCACCAGCACGGAATTCCGTGAACCATTTTTGGCACTGACATTCTTGTACAGCATTGTCACCGTAAACTTTATGCAACTTTTCACAAGCTTGATGCGTGTTCTTCCCTTTATGGAAGTAAAACAGTAAAATATGGCAAAAATGCACAGTTTGGTCTTTCATCTTCAACTTGTTGTAAAATCTCTAAAACTCAACCAAATCGCTCAATATTTTTTAAATGAAGCCAGAACTGTCACCTGTCAAATGACATAGCAATAACATAGATGAAAATGACTGTAGTACTTCCAAAAATGAACTAGTGCCGTCTATCGCAAACATGCGTCATGATTTTTCCAACAACCCAATAAAAGGCAAGAACAAGTAAAACCTTAAACAGGGTTATCTATAAAGACTATTAATAGAAGCACAGGTAAAGATATATGTCACCAAGTACATATTCAATCTGTAAGAAAAATAAAATATTATGTTTCCAGACTTTTTAGGCTTCTTAATATACTTAGATTAGAATTGTGCTTTTAAATAATGTTCATTATGTAAGTAAAGGCCAAGATTTTTTGGTAGCTTATTTCTCTCTTGCTCCTTGTATTACAAGAGAATCACTTCCCGTAACCATCCTTTGGCCACAATTAAATGTTCATCGTCACCAAGTTCTCAGTCTGGGACTGTTCAGGCTGTGAACAATTAAAGCTGTAGAATGCACAGGCTGCCATATTAAAAGGAACTCTTTTTTAATAGTGGAGTCTCAAACTACTGTTGCTATGTTGTCACTTGTCCTCACTACACTGAATTAATGCTTTTGAAACAATTATTAGTCAATCCTCACAGTCTCGTAAGAAACTCTAACACATGAGTATAAACTTAGTGCAGTAACTAGAGACTACCCTGGAACTAAATGGCAAAAATTAACTGAAATAGAACGAACAAAATTTAGTAAGACCATTCACTTGGGTAAACTGTCTGGGAGAATAGCCACCTGGACTATCTAGTCCCAGAGTTACTTGATGCTTTCAATCCAGCATGGCACGTCTCAGAGCAGGAAAATCACATTCATGTTTGAGGTGTTATAAGAGGTTCTGCAAAATAAAACATAATTCATTTGGATTAAAGTAAGAAAAATGATAAAATGGCTGATAAACATTTCAGTGTAAAATTTCTGATCAAATTGAAAATAAAAATTTAAAGTTTTTCTGAAATCTGCTAAGTTATATTACTGTGAACTAATAGCTATTTTACTTTTTATTTATTATTTTAAGATTTTTATTGGGGAATTGGGGGATGGGAACAGCGCTGGGGAATTGGGGGAAAGGGAACAGACACGTTGCTGTCGTTTTGTTCTTCAGTCTAGTTGTAGAGGACGTTGCTTCACTGGCCCAAGTTGGCACCATCATTGAGCTCTTTCCAGGCGAGGCAGATCAGTCACCGGCTTCTGGACGGCCGCTCACTGAGGCTGCTGGCCGCTCACGCTGGCTGCCGGCCACACATGGTAGCTCATGGCAACCCACTGCAGTAGGAGCTGCAGCCTACGCCAACGCCGGCGACTCACAGAAGCCCAGCTCCAGGTTGAGCTGTTGTTCAGCATCTTAGCTGTAGAGGGCAGTGTCACTGGCCCTCATATGTGGGATCCAAACCGGGGTCCTCTGGTGTCCCAAGCCAGCTCTTAACCAACGCGCCACTCGGCCGGCCCACTAATAGCTATATTAAATGTGCATTTGGTGTTTATGCCAATTTTGAGTCTCTCTACACACATCTTATAGAAAAATATTTGTAAAAGTTATGTATTTCAGTTGGTGTGCACATGGAAAAATGTTTCCAATGAAATGGATAAGTATTAGTTCCAGATTTTCCATTTCCTTGACAGTCTGCTTAAAAAATATTAGTCAACTAATTCAGAAAAGTTAAACCTCAGTTGTCTTCTTTAATTTGCAGCTTTTTGTTGCTGCTGTTTCTATTATGTGTTAGGCACTTTGCTGGGTTTTTTTATAGCCATGTTTAATCCTCACAACCTTACAAGGCAAGCATTAATATTCCCATTTTAGAGACAAAGAAAACAGAGACTCCGTTAAGCAGAGACAGGTCACAGTCAACATCAGCGTCTGGCTCCTCCTGCTCAAAGTTGATGCAGCTCCTGGGCCATCTCCTTGGGCCTCATGGCTTCAAGTAATTGTCCCAAGTTGACAGTTAGCTACTGCTGGATGGTGAGTTTGCTCTCCCATGGTCTCAGCTCAAAGACCCTTTTCATTTCTGTTATAGAAAGGAGATTCACATCTAGGTAGATGATTCCATTAAACGACTTTGAAGGTCACGAAGGACACAGCATTTTGAAATGTCTTCACCAACTCTGGAAAAATCTCCACTTCTTCCAGGTCCGTATTCAAGCTAACAGGAGGAAGAAAGATACCTTCTGCTTGGGTTAGTCTTAGTCTTAAAGAAAGATTGTGGTTTTTTGGAAGCAAGATCTCTATCATCGTGGTCTTCTATTTAGAATTAAAGTGAAAACATCCATACCGTTTCTTATGGCTTGAAATGTGTTTCCCCAAAAGATATCAAAGTCCTACCATATTTGATACAGCTGCTCCACGCTAGGCCTCTATATTTACTCAAACTATTTTTTGTCCTTATAGCTAGAGCTTAAATCATTCCTGGCTACTCTTGAGTATGTCAAAATATGACATAAAAAACAGCATGCTTTTCCATGTGCAGCCAACCAAAGCAGAATAAAATGAGACCATTAACTTCTCTGCAATTTAGGCTTGCCAATAATTCAGCTTAAGATTGTCTAAACTTTTGGGTGAGTTAGTATCTGTAGTCTACTAAAATTCTCCAGTTTTTCAGACATACATTGCTATTAACACAGGTCTAACATCCTCCATTTGTGCGGCGCAACTTTAAATGACGACAAAAAATTTGTTGGATCTTGATCGCCATATAGAACAAAATATTAGCTTTTTCCTTTTTCCTTAATCATAAACGTGTTAAGCTTGCCTTCCGTGGCCATTATCCAAATCAATGATAAATATGTTTAACAGAACAAGGCCACAGACAAAGCCTCATGTGACGAGAAACTCTCATTAGTCAAGATAACGTGGATTCAGCTGTTAAACCAGGTTAAGAATTTAACTTTATTCCTAATCAACAGTGATACAGGAGGTACTCAAATTCTTAATCCGGTAGTGATTACATGGTTCTGACCATCCATCAATCTCTGTGCTTTTCTGTTTGTATAATGTACTTCAATTTTCTAACACAGTATTGCAAAAAATACTGAAAACCAGCATTGTAATCTCATTCAAAACTGTTTACAAAGCCTTTCGGTCACAGGTCCTTTCCCAAATCTGCATGGTCACCCCTCCCATTGAAGCAGGTTTATTTTTTTACAGAAATTGAATAAAAATTAACAGAAGAGGCTTGGGACTCTCCTGATACAGGGGAGGCTGTTAGGTGGGCATCAGGCTGAGAATAGAGGGATTCTGTGCAAGGGGACCTATTGAGCTACAGGCCTTAAGCCCTCTTTCCATACTTGATTCCCAGAATGAAAGCATCTGGGCATATTCTTCCCCAGACAGAAATAGGAAGGTTCTTCTCTGAAGAAACTGGACCTGAATCCAACCTACAGAAAAAGACAAAGTCTGAAATGGCTGACTTTTTGCCTGATCATCTAAAAATGGTTTCACAATCACATTTGCAAATTCTTTCCCTCCTCAGCAATGCAATTCATTCGAACTTAGAAACTTCCATGTTCATTTAAAACTATCAAGTACCTCATTAAATATCTCCTATTAGGAATCAATGCCCTCTTAACAGAACTATTTTGTGTCCCTTTTCAAAAAAAAGGGCTAGTTACCAAAAAAATGTATCCATGTTTTATAACAATTCAGTTCTACCATATACTGTTAGAATTATTAACTCTTGATTTTAGTTGGAATCTAGATATATGGAATTAAATCATCCCTAAAAAGTTTAGCTCTGTTCTTTCATCTATACAGAAAACATACGTTCTCTAAGTAGAGGAAAGAACTGCTTCAATACCCTCCTCTTTATTAGCTCAATGGAATTTCCAACAATAGATAACCCAATAAACACATGTTGAAATTGAAAAAAAAAAAATGAAGCACTTACAAAAATAAAATTACTCTTTTTATTACAAAACTTAATAATTTCACGATTTCTGTACTTTTCCTTACAAGAATAAAAGGTGACAGTTGGTATTCAAAATTGGAAACCAGATAATCAGACAAAAAAAAATCACATTTATTTCAATAGCTCAATGTGCAAATACACCAAGTCAGTTCACAAAGTTTCAAGATACAGCTTTAAGTATAATAAAAACCTGATTTTCAAATATTAACAAGTAAACAGAAATAAAGCTTCATTTTTTAAAAAAGTTCAAGAAACTTGAAAACCTTTAGACGAAAATATTCCACTTCCATCAATCCAAAATGTCTTAAGAGACGCCAGTAGTACATTGGAATGCAAAAGGACTTCTCAAAGAAAGAGAATCACCCTAAATTAGTCAGCTCCACACAGAGTGTAAATTCTCGGTGCTGGCTAGTCCTCATTTTGCAGCCTTACTCACTTTGTAGCAATTGATGTCATTCAACGCATGACATTTTGATCTTTAGGCAAATCCTAAAACAACTGTCTCAAGTTCAATGAGGCCAACATCCACTACCAGAGTTTTGGAAATGCCCACTATATATTCAGAAGATTCAAAGACCAATTTCAACTTCAGACCTATGGCATTACTGGGTGAAAAGACATAGATTAATACTTTTTCCATTACGTAAAACCAACATGGCCTTTAAAACTTCCTTTCTTATTTCTACACATACAGAACTTGAATGGAGAAAGTTCTCACTAGAAAGATAAAGGTTGTTAATTTTTTTTTTTATCACTTAGCAGCCAAGACACATTTATTTCTGCTCCCCAAAAGCAATGTTAGCTACTAGGTTTAATTCAGGAAAATGTACGTATGTCTTCAGGAAGGTTTAAATAGATATTTACTCAGTCTTTTTTCTCAACCTTCTTCATCTTTTCAGTGTAGGCAATAAACTGAGAGTCTGTTCCAAAAATTCTATCCCACCATGTAAATGTTGAAGCATAGTTTCCAATGAAGTTCATGTGGTGAAAATCATGATGCCGAGAACCAGCATAGAAAGGGATGAGGTTTAGAGGGTTGAGAGGAATATCATAACCACTGAAATAAAAATAATAACGATTATGAGAGCATTACGTACACCTCAAAAAACTGACATTTTTATTGACAGTCATATGTTTGTTAACTAATTCAAATAACATTCCCCTTTACCTAAGTCACTTTATTTCTGGTATGTTTACAAAAGACAAAAACTTAAGCGAAAATTTCATACTCTATAAACCACTTTAAGAAATTTTTAAAAAACTTAAAAGGTCTGTGGAAACTGTATATCATACATCAGGGAATGAAAGAGAGTAGTTGTAGTAAATGAACAGATTTTTCAAGAATTATTTTTCTTTTCTGTTTTAGAGGAGTTTCCCACCCCTAATACTACACGTCTTTTAGGAAAAGGTGTATGAAATTAATATCAAGCATTAAAGGTTAGACCTGAGAACCACTGTGTTGCAATTTCTTTTACTTTTTTAAGCAATGACAAGTTGGAATTAAATATACCATATTAATTAAAATATTAGTGTGTTTTCTGTAGTTGGGGGAATGCATATGATTTCAAAAAGAAATACCATTTATAGTATCCTTTATTTCTAATACTTTTCTAAAATCTGATAGCCACAATTATACAAGTCCACATCACCCCAATCTCTTCCTCCCTGTAGGAGACTGAGGGAAGTAGAGAGGAGGCAACAATGGAAGGACAGAAAGAATGAGAGAGACATGATTTACAATTTACTTACAGAATAGTCTCTGCCTAGAATTAGAAGCATTAATTTTACTACTTTAGTGGCTTAAAAATAATTCTTAGAGTTTAATGTTCTGCTTTCATGGATATAGTAATAAATCCCAAATCAAAAATGCAATGAATATATACTTTTTTTTTTTTTTTTAGCTGAGTAATCCTGCCACCTGTTGGCAGCTCAGTGGCAGCTCAGGTTGGGCGGGACTCAAGCCACTGTTGTGCAGAGCTCGCACTTTTGAGCGAGCTCTTAACTGACTGAGCCACTTGGCGGGCCCTATTATTTGAACTTTTATCCAATGATTATATTCTCTTGTTTTCTTAAAAATCATATTAACAAGATTAATTTATTCTATTAGTCTCCTTAGAAATAAAGATCATCTTATGACCATGAAAACAAAGACATTTTATGATGCCTTATGCCAGAACAGAAACCATAGCTCACCTGTGGACATCAATAGTTTCTAGCAAACGAATGGTCACCCATGCCCAAAGAAGAACTACATGATCACATAAAAGTACGATTCCAATGAAAAATCCAGTTCCAAGAATTAGAGTTTCCAGGGGATGTGCATATTCAGCTTCCATTCCAAATGGAGCCTAAATCAGACAGATAAGAATTCCTTAATATAATGTGACAGTTAATTTTATGCATCAGCTTGGCTACGCAATGGTGCCCAGGTGCTGGGCAAACACCAGTCTGGATGTTGCCTTGAAGGTATTTTTCAGATGTGACTAACATTTAAATCAGTAGACTCTGAGTATAGGAGATTATCCTTCATAATGTGCAGGTGGGCTTCGTCCAATCAGTTAAAGGCTTTAAAAGCAAAGACTAAGGTTTCCTGAGGAAGAAGGAAGTCTCAAGACTCTAACATAGAAGCCTTGCATGCGTTCTCAGGCTGCTGCCCTGTGGAGTTCAGAACCGAGACTGTAACATCAACTCTTTCCTCAATTTCCAGCCTGTGGTCTGCCCTACAGATTTCAGACTGCACAAGCTCCACAATCACATGAGCCAATTCCTTAAAATAAATCTGTATGTGTGTATATGTATGTATCCCCTTCCTTTTTCTCTGGAGAACCCTAATACATATTTACTAATTTACTTATATACTTTTATAAAATTGTTTCTATTATGTAATAAGATATCTAGCCATTCATATGTAAACAATAAAAGTAATTCCTAATAAAATCTTTTAGTTCCCACCAACCATCAAGGTCTAGGGATGTCCTTATTAATATCTTAATAACTGTCTTTAACAGTTTAAGATAAAGGCATTAAACAACTGACTTAAACTCTAATTTTGGTTTATGCATCTGAATTTGCTCTGTCAAGAAAGGAATGCTTGGTTTAGCATACCATGTAATTAGGATCAATGCAGAACATAACTAGTTTGACAAATACACATCAAAAGTAGTTCTGATAAAAGTCACTATTTTTGTGGGGGCCAGCAATGTGGTGAGAATGTTTTAAAACTAAGTCAGTAATTCTCTTAGAAGTTTAAAGATTAAAGGTTTGTTGTTTGTGAGTCCCATTTCAATAACCCTAAAATCGCTGTAGCTTCTATTAAACTGCCAGGTATCCACCTGTGTCAGACAGTGCTCTGGCCAAAGATGAGAGCCTGAACTGTTCCATGTAACATTTTTCTTTCAGGTCTCAATTTACCATGAAATTAAGATGCTAAAGAAAATTTGTAGAATTGGCTCTGTCTGTGTGTGTGTGTGTGTGTGTGTGTGTGTGTGTGTGTGTGTGAGAGAGAGAGAGAGAGAGACAGAGACAGAGAGAGAGAGAGAGACAGAGAGATGTTCTTAACAATCATGGCAAAGGAAAAATAAATAAACATCACCGACAATTTTTTTTTTGAATGCTCAGGAAATAAAAATGACATTTTTTCCCTAATAGAAAAAAACATGTATTAAATATAATTCTAACATACCTGAAACTCATGATGAATTTTATGAATATATTTATATATTTTTTTGTGGTGTAAAAGCCTATGTAGGAAATAGTGCCAGGTATCCTCAATCACCGCACAACCAAAGCATCTTGCCAAAAGCATATACCTTTAGGATGAAAACATTGTAATGAGTATAAAGTACACTCTAGATTCTTATTTGGGATCACTGCGTGAGACATTACATAAAACCAAATACCTACTTACCAGCTTGACCTAATTGGATATATTGATTAATAAATTCTCAAAACTGCTAGATACAAGGTGGCTATATGATACCATCTGAAGAAGAGTCAAAAAGATTGACCACCCAGGTGATGACTGGGCCCCTAATATATCCTATCTTAGGTCTGTCATAAAAAAAAAAAAAAAAGATTGACCACTATGCCAATCAATTCTAACTCACTTTTTAAAAAACTCACAGGTATAATATCAGTTAAGAAACAAAACTCAAAACTTCTAGAAAAACAGTAACATTAATGAAGGGTCTGAACTAAGATTAGTAACAGTAAAATCATCACTTTTTTCCACCAAAACGAAAAACATTAAGTGCAATGGGCAAAAATCAGTCTACATACAAATGAACACACACAAAGAAACTCATTTATATGTTATATAGAAAAAGTATATATCTACATATTGGTATGTTTGTATTCAGGTTATGTTAGAAATATGTAGTTGAATACAAATATTATTTGCACACACACACAGTGCTCAAATAATATAAGACAAGGTGTGATCAAAAAACACAGTGAATGCTGCTGTCGAGTGCCATCCAATGGAAAGGCAGGGATCTTCAATATGGGAAACAGCACATAGGACCTTAGTAACAGTGTGTGACAAGTTTCAACTTGTTCCATGCAGTCAGTCGGGTATGAGCTGCTGTTGAGAGATGGTATATTTTAAAGTGTGCTGTAAATCAGCACACTTAACATGAAATGGGCAAATGGTTTCATCCTCCATCATAACAACACTCCATATTACACATCGCTTCTGGTACGGCAATTTCTGTCAAATAAAAACATTACGGTGTGTCCTCATCCACCTTATTCACCAGATCTGGCACCGTGTGACTTCTGGCTCTTCCCCAAAGTCAAAATGACCATGAAAGGTAAATGTTTTGAATCTATTCAGGATATGGAGGCAGCCATGACAGCACAACTAAAGAAACAAAAGAGGACCTTCGGAACTTCAGAAAGTGGCAAGAACGATGGGAAAAATGTTTGAAGCAAGGGGGAATATTCTGAGGGGGATTAATGGTAACATATCTTTTACTGTAACAAGATTTTTTTTTTTAATTTAAACATTCACCATATTTTGTGATCACACCTCATATATTTGTGTCTATATGGACACAATTTTTATAAACCTCACAACTATTCTGACTGTTTTCATTCATTTTAGACTTAAAATGTAATATTTTTTTCTTAGTATAAGCACCTTCCATTAAAGTATTACACTAAAATACAGAAAGATCTATAAATGGAACATTTTAAGTTCCTCCTATGGTTTACTTTTCTAAATTTTATTTACGTCCAAAGTTTAGAACAAACATTAACCAAATGAAGAAAGAAGATAAACATTAACAATATTTTAACTGGGTAACAAATCATGACTGAGTCTAAAAATCAAATCTTTATTTATATAAAGATTTATTTATATCTACATACCATCTTGGCATTCTTTGCCAATCATAAGGAATATTGAAACACTCTGTAAAATAATAAGTTCCACAAATCAAAGGAAGCTGGATACAAAAGTGATTAAAGAGAAGTACTTTAAAGCATTTCCACTGGTTTTCCCATGTTTCTGGTTTATCCTATGGAGAAAAAGCACAATATTTAGTATTAGCCTCTGTTATCAGTAGGTTTGATATCCAGAAGGAAATTCGTAATTTTTTCTCTAATGTTTAATGAGACCTTAATTATATATTACTCAATTAATTATATGTTTTGTGAATTCTACATTACAGTTACTATATTACACTAACTAAGGCCCAGGAGTCACATCCTCCCCTTCTAAATCTTGACAACTACTATCAGTACTTTAAACAGGTGAAGAAATTGGACAAACCTAGGCATAACAAACATAAGATCTTAAACCAAAGAAGCACAACAGTATGACTAACTCTGCAGTCTTTGCTACCCACAGATCATTCACTTCTTTTACCAGAGATATCAAAAAAGAAATGTGTTACTAAGATTAGAGTTGGGTCTCCCAACTGTTGGAGCTGCTGTACCAGCAACATTGAAAGCCTTTAAATCGATGCTTCTAATCATCTGGCAGTATTCATTCCCAAAAATTAGTGCATTTTTGTTCATCTACAATGACAGAATTGGAAACTCTCTGAGCTGGAAGAATTCAGATATGTCCAGGGGTTCCCAAAGAATGGAGAGCTACTGCTCACAGATGATGAAGTTCACAGGCTAAAGTCAACGAGAGAAGTGAGATCAAACGCTCATTTAAAAATGTTCAATTAAACCTCATCAAGATGCCAACTTGCCTAGGAAGCCATAGTAAAAAGAAAATTAAATTTATCAAATTTAAAGGCTGCACTTACATAAGAAAAAGTGGTTTTGCTTTTATAAAAAGATGGTGATAACAAATAATGATTACTTTGTTTTAAACGTCCTTACTTAAAAATTCAGAAATCTGCCAAGGAAAATTTTTTAACTACAATATCTCAAGTATGGGAACTACCATAATTAACTTTAGTGATTTTTTTTTTGTTTTTAAATCCCCTTATATTATGAAAACTTGTACTGATTTACCATCACAATTTATTTTAGTATCAAAAAAAGCTCACAGCGCAAACTTCCGTGGTTGTGAAGCTCAAAGGCAGGCACGCTGAGGACAGGCTTGAAGTCATACTACCTAGTCTTTTAACCTGTTTATAAACTACCTATAACCAATTAGAGGGCTGCTTGTCCTTTCTTTTACCATATTTGATTTCAAGCCACTCATAAAACCTTGACTGAAAAAGGTCTTCCTCTCTCTAGAATGTTAATACCTCTGACCAATGAGTCAACTGCAGGGGACAGGAGGACAAGGATGCCATGGCCTGGCCAGCCATACAAAGAATTAGCTATGTAAGCAAATCAATGGGAACACATGGCAGCCAGAATCATCACAAACACACCTGGGAACTTTAAACATCCAAACGGAATTCTCCCTTTCAAAGCAGGCTCTTTTATAGAAAGCATTTCGGAATTTCTGTGTCCTCAATTTAGGGTAACAGGATAGTCTCCTTTGGGCCACATCCCTTTTTATTACCTCCCCCTTTTCCTTTGTTCTTTCTTCCTTTGGCTTGGAGTCCACAGGCACCTGACACCCCACCCCACCCCCCACCCCGCACTATCCCCAGAGAGGATCAGTGTCAGTAATGGTTTAAAGTGAGAGTCAATGGGAGAGGCAATAAAGCTAAGAGACTATGAGAGAATGTGTGCAGCGAATGCCATCCAGTGTAGACTCAGTGAGTGCAAATTTGTCTCTATGGATGAACACTTTTCAAGATGTCTCCTTTCTACCAAGACTGTGTACCCCTGAGTTTTAGTTTGGCATGACTTTTTAGAAAACTAAATAGTAAGCATGAGAAACTATCCTGGGTTTACCAAGTGCTGATAAATCCTCTCTCTCTGGTTAGCTAGTCCAGATTCTTTCCTGGGAACTGTCAAGCTCACTACTCTACACATTAGTAAGGTCACTATTTTCCCTGTGTTTAAAACTAGAGGCACTGTGCAGATTTCAACACCTTGTCATGTACAGTGGGCTCTCAGGAAACATTTAGTGCATTGAAGCCAATACCTAGAGGCTAGGAGCACTCCTCTGGGATGACATGAATGCTGCAGAACTACCACTTCATATTTTGGGGGGAAAAACAAAACTTTAATAGCTCTGATCAAGGTCTTGGAATAGTAACATACACTTAGGGGCTGAGACCTCAAGAGCTGGAGGGAACTGCAAAATAAATACCTACAAATCCCCACAACTTTCCTTTCAGCTAGTTTAAAAATTAAAAAATTAAAATTAAACCCATTACATAAACATCACATCTACTTAAAGCACAATTTAACAAATTATTCTTGAAACATTTTCAATAATGATCGAAGGCTGTGCTGTCCAATATGGTAGCAACTAGCAACAAATGGCTACTGAACACTTCACATATGGCTAGTCTAAATTGAGATGGGCCAAAATTAGTGTAAAATACATACCAATTTCCAAGACATGATGAGAATACGAACATAAAATATCCCAGTAAGTACTTTTTCATTCTGATTACTTGTTGAAATAATAATAGTTTATATTTATTGTGTTAAGATAGATTATTAAAGTTAATTTTCCTATTTCTTTTTACCTTTTTATGTATCCTACTAGAATATTTTAAATTACATATATGGCTTCATTATATTTCTATTGACAGCCCTGATCTAGAGTCTCTCAAAACGACATTTCATTTTTAAAATAGTCAACATTAATAATAACATTCCATTGCAAGTCCATCATACTCACCTTTTGAATTTTGTACTTTTTCATGAAAGGTATGAATTGAAACAAAAATCCAGGTAAACAGAACAAGAAATAAAGGGCTTCATGAACTATGAGGGACCCCCATGTTGCAATCTGGAACTTTGTGTAATTATCTAACATATAGTTCCAAGCATTTTTAAATGGTTCTTGCAGCGGATTCTCAGGTAAAAGTGAGTCTACATACTCCACAGCCAGAGATGCTGAACTGAAGATGCTGACACTTTCATTTGTTGCCATTTTTCAAATCTCTGCAGGCAGCGTTATAGTTCTGTAAACATAAACAAATACACAATACTTATCAGAATTCAAAATGAATACACCCTCTGACCCGAAATTTTGTCACTTGAGTGTATCAAGACAGGCACATTAAGACTGAAGGAAGCATTACTTATAATAGCAAAACCAAAGAGAAAGAAAGAAAAACATAAATTAAGTCCATTGATAAGAAATCCATTAATAGATTCTGTTAACTCCTTCCACAATTATACAGCCACTAAGAATGAGGAAGGTCTATAAGGTTCACATAGAAAGGTGAATAAGACTCGGTGGTAAGTGAAACAGCGAGTTGCAGAATATCATGCATAACGAGAGCCCCACTTATGTTTTTGTGACAGATTATGTATTCTATCTATGCACGTTCACGCATGTGTACATACAGAAATACACATAAACACAGAAAATGTACGGAAGGGTACACAGGGAACAAGTTAGAGTGATGACCTTTAGGAAAAAAGATCAAGGGTAATAGGGGTGTGTGTACGCTCACGTGCACACTCACAGTGGGAGGTTGTTACGAAGGAGAGGAAGAAAATTGTCTTCTCATTTTATACCTTCTTACAATTTTAATTTCTTTCATGAGCATGTTTTACTTATATAATAAATAAGCTTAATAATAGGTCACCAAATCAAAAAGAGAAACTTAAGAAGAATGTCACGTTCCTAAAAATGTTCACTGCTGTTCCTAATTTATAAATTATGATGGACCACTCTACAAATATTTGAAGCCTAAGAAGCACTCTTAACAGTGCTTAAAATGCTCCCCTCCCCACTCTCAACTCCCAAATTGACCTCTTATCCCATTCCTCATAGAGGCTATTGGGAAGCTTAGCCAACTTCCTCAGATCTCTGAACTCACTCTGCATCCTTCCTTATTCTTTTGTCTGACCCATTCCCAAGTGACTTATACCATGAAGACTATCGTGTTACACCCTGTGCCAACCCAACCTCAAAATTTCTCTTTGCTCACTCACCCTCTCCTCTAACAATGACTAATCTTGTGTTCATCTTACCTCATCAAGAACTTGTCCATCACTCACTTCACCTTTCTCATCTTTTGTCTTTCCCTCTTCACAGAGTTCATTTCCTCAAGTTTAAAAACATACTCAAGTCTTCCTTTCTTGAGAAAAGCTTTCCTAACTTCTATCACCTCTCCCTTAAGCCACTGTCCCATTTCTGTTTCTTTCCACCAACCAACTCCTTTCTCAAAGGAGAGATCAACATAAAGCCTGACTGCTTAACTCTCACCCACACAACTCACTCAACTAGCTGTAATCTAGCTCCCCACTTTCACCTAGATGTCTTCAAAGACCTTCTAAATTGCAAAATACAAGTCATTCCAATCTTCATTTTCATGAGGTCATTAATAAATTTGACAAAATTTCTTTTTAGCTGAGCCATCAAATTTAACAATTTTGAACCAACACCACTTACTAGCTCTATGACCTTGAGCAAGTTACATAACCTCTCTGAGCCTCAGTTTTATCATCTGCAAAATATAAAGAATAGTAAATAGATGGTGGGAATCTTTTCACAATGTCAAATCACCACGATTTACACTTTAAATACCTTACAATTTTATCTGTCAATTATACCTCAATAAAGCTGAAAAAGAAAAAAAAAGAGTAACAATAGTTCTTCCAATGAGTCTAAGAAAGAATGCATGTGAAGTCCTTAGCACAGGATCTGACACACAGTAATTCTAAGAAGCTACTAAGTTTTTTGTTGTTGTTGTTGTTTTTTACAAGATTTTATTGAGGAATTGGGGAAGGAGATCAGACAAGTTGTTGTTCTTCAGTCTTCGTTGTGGAGGGCGCCAGTCGCCATCTGGCTTCCAGTCGGCAGCTCATGGCCTCTAAGCTCAAGGTGCTGCGTTCAATCTTAGTTGCGGGTGGGCGTAGCCACCATCCCACATGGGAGTCGAACCAGCAGCCTTGTTGCTAAGAGTGCACATTCCACCCACTGAGTCATCTGGGTGACAGCTCAGCTCAAGGTGCCAAGTTCAGTCTTAGTTGGGGATGGGCATAGCCACCATCCCATGCGGGAGTTGAACCCGGCAGCCTTGTTGTTAAGAGCGCACGCTCTATCCACTGAGCCATGTGGTCGGCAGCTCAGCTCAAGGTGCCAAGTTCAGTCTTAGTTGCGGGTGGGCATAGCCCACCATCGAAGAGGCAATCTTGTTGCTACACCAGCTGAGCCATCCTGCCACCTATTGGCAGCTCAGTGACAGCTCAGCGTCACTGACCCATGTGGGAATCGAACCGGTGGCCCTGTTGCTCAGAGCTCGCACTCTTAAGCCAACTCTTAACCAACACGCCACTGGGCCGGCCCCAGAAGCTAGTAAGTTTTGACTGAGCACTTTCTATGTGCCAGGAACTGTGTTCTAAGTGTGCTATATGCTCTCTCTATAATTAAAGACTTTAATCCTTGCCACACTTTCATGAGGTAGGTACTTTTATTATCCCCGTTTTCTAAATGAAAAACTCAGCTTTAGAAAGATCATGCAACTTTCCCAAATTACAAAAACGCTAAGTGGGGAGGTCTATGCTCTCATCCATTATGCTATACTACAATCATAAAAAACCACACACACAATAAATATTACAGTAAGAGAATAATTCCTACAGCTTATCCAAGCCTCCTGAAAGAGTATTCTATACAGGCTGTCTTCCTTTTCATATTTCCCATTTACTCTCCAACAACTACAATCTACTTTCTATTCTTATCACTGCTGAATTTACTCTTACTAAAATCATTTAGGATCTCCTAGCTGCCAAATCCAACAAACATTTTTTGGAGTTTATTTGACCAATCTGGGAGATTAGATACCTCTCTCCTTGAGATACTTTCCTTCCTTGGTTCTTGGAATTCCCATGTATTGAGTCTGATTTAACATGTGCTACTAGGGTACAGCCACTGTGTTAGCTTCTGCCCTCACCCTGTCTTCACAAAACACAAAATCTAGTGAGCAATACAAAGAAGGACACAGACTATCCTAAAACTATGTGAGAAGAACAATAAAGGGTGGGAAAGAGTGCTAGGAGAACACAGAGGAGCAAAGCGAGTCCCTGGAGAAAGACGTTATCTAAACTGAGCCCAGGAGCATGAGGGAGGAGACCAGATTAAAAGAGAGGAAAGTAGAGGAAAAGATTTTGGGAGAATAAGGGGATGTTTTGTGTAGAGGGATCCAAAGACTCGACCAGGAGACAAGAAAGGATACTGTGCTTGGATTGGGTATGTCTGTGTATAGCTTTTGAGAAAGGAAGACTTGACAATTGAGACTGTTAAGTTTTCCAGTGATGCTGTCCTTACTCCTTTTCTAGTAGTAATCTGGTAATTCCAGGTTACCTTGGGTGATCTTCACTACTTCCTATTTTTAAAATCTGCTGATATCCATAACCTCTATTTCTAGCCCTCTCCCCTAAACTCCAGGTTCCGATTAAACACAAGTCTACCAGCTAAATCCAATTAAGACAGTTCAAAGGAACCTGAAACACAACATGTCCAGAAGTTCTGCAACTCTTCCTCACAACCCTGCCCGAATACTCCCTACTTCCTGTAATCCCTAACAGGTGAATTGCACACACCTGTTTAGTCATCTCTCACAGAGTGCTCTAAGTTTCACCTATCTCTGCTGCCTTAGGTAGTCTTCAAACTCTCGACTCAGTCTAGAGGTGCCTGGTTTAACTAACATTCAGGAATTGTTCTCCATACACTGGGAGGGAAATTGGCACATGGCTGCCAAAAGCAGAAAACAGAAATTAAAGAGGAGAAGGGACAGGAAATAGTGAATTTTCTTTTCCTTTTCTCATTCTTGGACCACCTGACTGAATGGAAACCTGCGCTGGAGCGGGCTGATTAGAGCCTCAGAAAAAAAGAAATTTAGTTATGTGTTGATTCTTTGAGTAACCCTGAAGTTTAGCTCTGAGTACTGCCAGCCAATGTTGGACCCTTTTCCTTAGTTAAGCAGGGGTTACACCAGGTCCCGCATATGCCCGAGTTGCCTTGCCTCCGAGCTTGCCCTTAAGCTTTACTTGCACGACCCAGTGCCCGGATCTATCTAAACAGCCAAGTTCCCCTCTTCAAGCCCTTCAAGTTAAAGGAAATGCCTCCCCTAAGGATAAAGACTAAGGTCCTCAACGTTGCAAAACAGGCCCTGCCAGGCCTCTCATCCTACACCTCCCAGTCTTACACTATCTGACCTCTCACTGCTCCTGCCGCTTAAATTCCTCTCTGGCCACGGAAACAGCATCTCGGGCTCATCCTTCAGTAGCCTCCTCTTAGACGTCCTTGCCCACCCCACCACCCCTAGAGCACATACACAACAGATCTTATCCCCTCTGTAAACCGTGTTTCTGTTTCCTAAAACTTTCATCACCCAGTGCTGTAACTATCGTCCACTATGTCCCGTCTCGGGATGACTGTAAAGTCTTAAAGGGCAAGAAACAAGCTCCCCCACCCAGCTCCACCACTTAAGAATTTCACACCGCTTTCCGCCCCCCTCCCCGGCCCCCCTCACATTGGGTATGGGTGCCCCCATCCGGCCCTGAGCGCGCATCCACGCCAGACCCGCTCCCCTCAATCCCGAGGAACTCAGGGGCGGAGCCCGCACGCTTCCCCTTCCTCACCTACAAGCCTGTCTTCCAGCTCCCTCACCAGGACGTTCGCGCGGCGATCGCGGCTCCCCGTCACCCAGACTCGGCCAGGTGCAGGCAGCGAACCAGGAATGAGCCAGTCCCGGCTCAGCTTTGGAGCGAAACAGCTGCGGGTCTCGCTTCCTCCTGTTATTGGCTTGGGAGGGCATCCGCCCCGCCTCCTCGGCGCTGTAATTGGCCCGTGCGGTTGTCGGGCATCGTGCGACTCGCGCAGACGGATCACTGGCGGTGCCAGCCATTGGCTCCGCGGATGGAGTGAGGATAGTGAGACAGCGGCGTCCAGTCAGTGGCAGGCGCCGCGGCGCTCCTGGAGGCGGGGCAGCGTGAGGGAGCATGACGTCAGGAGGGGGACGGGCACGGGCGCAGCTACGTGCGGGCAGCGAGGAATTCGTCGCCTTGGCAACTGCAGCTTCCCAGCGGATTGACAGGGAGCGCCGGCGCAGTCCGTGGGAGAGCGTACCAGAACACGGTTCCTGCGACTTTAAGATGTAAACGGTACTGTAGCGGCCACATGCTCAAAAAGCGGGAAAAGAATAGGGCAAATGAATTTTTAAATCTGTTTTGACTGTTTTTATTTATGGACGGCCCCACCTTCCTCTGGTCTAACCTGGATTTAGATCATTCTTCCTTGTGTCCCAGCCCAAGAATCCTTTAATAAACCGCTATCTATGGAAGATGGAGAATTTCAAATGCAATGTATCACCCGCGACAATCCTGAGAGTTAGTTACCATTATCCCCATTTTGCACCTGAGAAAACCCGACGCTCAGAAAGGTTTAGAAAACGATTTGACTTAACAGATGGCAGGCAGATGGCAGGTGACTGCCCCGCGGGGATATTAAGAACCTTAATGTAACCTATATCTGGGTGTTGCAGTCCCTGTACAGCACAGGGCACCAGGTGGCAGAGGGTTGACACACTTAACTTTGTCTACAGCTCTGGCCTCATCTCAGTCTCTCACTAAAATATTGCGTACTAGGGTATAATAAGTTTGTACAGATGGTGTAATACACCAATTTAAACTTACACTTAAGAGTGCCTTTTTAAAATTTGCACAAGGGCTAGTTGAAGGCATTTTTTATCCAGTTTCTGATAACAGGATGCTGTTGCTTCTCTCACAATATTGCTCAAACTGGCTCTTCTGCCTGAAATAACCATTTCCTCCCCTACCCGTCAATTCAGGTACCATCTGCGTGAGGAAGTCCCCTCTTGAGGGCTGTCACTCCTTAGGTCCAGTGACCTCTATCCTTCTAACTTCTCCGTCTGACATCCACATTCTCTGTAAAGTATCACGACAGGGAGGTCACATCAAATGAAGAGAGGTGGGATCTGTCCCTGGGGTGGTCACAGTCAGAGCCCTGTCTTTCGGAGGCCTGTGCCCACGGAAAGTGAGGGCTGGCCTGGAGAGGGCGCTGTGGTCTTTGGTGCAGCACCTAGGTCCCCCACTTCAGGACTGAAGCAGGTGTTCAGCTGCTGAGTGCCGGCAGAGCGAGCCACCTCTCCCCACGGCATACCCTCTTCAGGGCAGCCTGAGTCCAGTGACTGGTTGATGTGGGAGTACTAAGGTCCAGCCCCTCACCCGACTTCCCAGCTCCACAGCTTCCCCTCCTATTGGCTGGGGCTGTGGGTGTGACTGCAGGCAGCCCATTTCTCCCTCTGCCCAAACCTGCTGCCCTCTGTCAAGTAGTGTTAAGAGCATGCACTATGGGGTCAGACTAATCAAGCGTTGTCACTTATTAGCAGTGTGTTCTTGGATACGTAACTCTTCGAAGTCTTATCTAGTACTTCTGTAAAATGGGTATTATAATAAATAGTACCTACATCTCAAAGAGTATGTTATGATTAAATGAGATCATGTATAAAAGGCTTTTTGTACCATATCTGAAATACAGGCAGTGCACAGTAAATGCTGGTTATTTCGGACTTAGACTCCTACCACTGTAGATATATTTTCTAAATCAGAGCAAGTGGAGGGTATGTGAAGGGGTCCAATTATTTTAAATCTTAGAGAGTTAGAGCTGAAAGGAAATACAGATATGGCAGCTCAACTTATTTCCCTACAATGAAGAAATGGGAGGTTCAGAGAAGAGCAAAAATAGCAATTTGTTGAGGGGCCTCTGTATTTCAAGCACATTAATATACATGTCTTTCAAACTCCACAATAACCTTGTACATGACATAAACACTATACTGTTGCTGTGAAGACAACATAAAGGTCAGAGGTTAAGTAATGTGTTTTAGAGAAGACAAAATGAAGGTCAGAGGTTAAGAATCTGTTTAAAGTCAGAGAGAGCAACTGATAGAGGGGGATGAGGGCCATCTGATTCTTATGCCCATGGGCTTTCCTAAGAGATCACACTGCTTTTTTTTCCTTAGTCCTGAAGCCAAGGTTAGAATCCTAGACTCAAAGTGAGATTACATTCACCTATGGAGCCTCCTTTCCAAAATGAGTCACTGGCAGCCATAGAAGTCAGTAGGAGGCAATTCACTGAAGACCAAATGGAAACAAGAGGTAGGCTTATTAGCACATCACTATGAAATATTATGCTATCCTTGTACCTAATAAAATGTCTCATAATTCACCATCAGCTGAGATGATAAATACCTAGGTCCTCATGCTATCTATAATAGATGATAACAAATACCAGTAATCATATGCCCAAGTCCATAAAAAAAAGTGAAAGGAGCTGAGAAGTATCCTGGCAGTATCCACACAATCCACCTTAACCCTCTCCATCACTGCTTTCAGCCAGGAAGGCACAGATACAAACAAAGCAGGCAGCAGAGTTGCTTCATGATGTAGGTACATGGATCTAGCCTTGCACTCTGCTCAAACCTGGTGCTGTTTCCTTGGCAAGATTTCTAAGACAATTCTCTGCCTTAACTTCTGACCTCTTTTTTGTACACTAACTACAACAATCCAGGAACACTCTTAAATACGCTTTAAAAAAAAAAAAGAAAAACCAAGATGTTTCAAACCAGAAAGACAAAGGGTGGTGTGAGGAAAGGGGGCATGTTCAAAGCCCCTGAAATCAGTTATGAATCCATCCAGCTACTGATAAGCCCTGGCAAACTGTTTTATGGTATAGCTATTAAAGCCACAAAGAAAGAAAAAGAGGTATTTGACATGCTAAACATTGAAGACTTTGTTACCCTCATCGATTATATTTTAAGAAAAGCTTTAAAATGTTTTAGATAAATCTTTCATTGATAGATTCATGGAGTGCTTCGTGGAACATTAGTGTTTGGAAGTGATCAGGGAAGATAACGCCACGGATTTTTCTTGGTGCCACTGTCAGAATCAGCTGGCAGCGTTCCAAGTTCATTAGACCCTCAACATGTTTGTTGATGATGGATGTGCGTGGAGCCACACTAAGGTGGAAATTCATGTTTTCGTAAGGTGAGCATAGGCTTTTTTCTTCTTCTGATTAAACCCCCTTCTCTCCGCATCTTTTGTGTCTAGCACCTCAGCTGTCCGCCCCACTACCCAACTCCCATTTCCTCAGTGCCTTTTATTTGGAATCAAAATCACCATTTCTTTCTTAGTTGCTATATATATTTTTTTTAACTTACGTTTTGCTTCAGTGTTATTTCTTTTATCTTGTGCCCAGCTCATATTAGGGACAGCGGAATATAAAAACGTTAAATTTCACCAGTCCTTGGGAGACTTTTCCTTGATGGTTAACTTTTTCTTGAAAAACAATTTTCAGTGACTTCAGTTATTGATTCAGCAGACTTGCCTTAAAGGTTACTTTGGCAACAGATTAAAAATATTGATTTGTGAAGTTAGAAAATGCAAATTTTCAGAAGAACAGAAGAACTGAACAGGCAACTTTCTTAATATCCAACTAAATAGATGAAAATCAAGGACAATGTAAAACAAATAATATACAAACTTTTATTCAAAGGTAATTCAAGAAAGACATGTTTTGGTCATTTTTAAAGTGAGATTAATTGAAGATCTCAGAAAAATTGTATCTGATCAACGCACATGGCTACTCACAGAAAGTTCTCTCTTCTGATAATAGCAGCTAAATTTATACACACAGAAAAAATTCTTAAGACCATGCAAATTCAGTTGAATTCCAAACATTCATTATATTCATCAAAAACCTGCAGTAATGTTCATGCCAAAGGGTTACTTTAAGAAAAAAAATTAAAAATACACACCAAAACATGACCAAGATTAAACGAAAGAAAATAATAAATAAGCATAATTTATATTTTATTTAAAAAAGTTTGGCATCACACATATTCAAGTGTGTTACACCATGTTCATTCCTCAGAAGTGGCATTTTAAAGTGTTAAGCATTGTTAAATATCAAAAAATACAACTCTGTTTTACAATGTAGTACTGGCATAATTCAAAGTACTGTGCCAATTATAAATAGTATAATCAAGTTTCAAACATCTTCTCAAACATATTTAAAGGAAAGCATATAGACACACAGTTATATGCACACCATTTATTATACTCATGTAATTAAAGATATTTTATAAAAGCAAACAGTTTTTTTTAATCCCTCAACTAGTTTGTATACTTACATAGATTTTAATACCTGTTCAAAGGTTTTCAGTTCCTGTGTATACAGATTTTCAGAAGGAATAAAGAAAGATAAAATTTCACTTTACAAGAACACATAGTACTTCATCCTTCTTCACAAATTAATCCACAGTCATTCAAGGTTGATAACTAGTCTTTATGAAACCAACTGTTGTCTAAAGACTACAGAATAAGTACTGCAGTCCAGGTTTCTTATTAAAATTCAGTCAGCTGCTGCTCATTGCAGAAAAAGCCTACACGGTGCTTCTACCAAAAATAATCTTCAGTATCCGAGGCCTATAAAGGCAGACGATCTTATCTTCTGCAGAGACTTAAAGTGCAGCTACACGTGGAGAAGTGCTAGATTCGCAGTCACTTCAGAAATACTTGCGGAAGTCTGTTTCTCACGTATAATAAATATGCCGAAAATGTCCTTCAGGCTCATAATGGTTTATCAATAACTGTGACCCCTAAACAAAGAAATGAAGAAATAAAACAGAAGTCACAAGCAGCATTCTATATCTCTGAGAAAATACTGAATTCTTTATTTTATCACCCAAGCAACAGGGACTGAACAAATCATGATGTTTCAAAAGAACTATCATTTTAAACGAAATGACAGTGAAATCTGGTTATAGACCAAAACTACATCAGACTATTTAACCCACAATTAATTAGTCTTTTGCTCTTTGTAGTTACAATTAAGGAAAAATATTCTAGTTTTACTCAGTAAATATTAATCCACCTAATACTGAGGGACACAGAGAAACTTTTGGGCGTGATGAATATTTTCATTATCTTGATTATGGTAACCATTTCATGGGTATATACATATGTCAAAACTAATAAAATCGTATACTTTCAATAGATGCTATTCTATGTCAGTTATATTTCAATGAAGCTGTTAAAAAAATGTCTAATTTTGGGCCATGTTATTCTGGTATCCTACTGTATATAGTTCTATTAGGTATTGTGTTGGATGATACATAAACAATAGTGATGGTTAATTGGTATAAACTTTTTTCTCCATTATTGGATCAATATTAGAATGTTACTGAAACATTCTAATATTTAAAGCAATATAAATACCTATCATCAGAATAATTAATATGTAACAGACACTTTTAAAGACTCATCATTATAGTATTACCATTTAAAAAGTATTACCATTTCTCTTACTAAGAATGGTAAGAAAATAGACCAAAATGATATCTTATAATTCAACCTGTGCTATATACTTAAGAAAAATTACCCCACAGCCATACTAACAATACAATCACATGGAGCCATGCCAGGGTCTGAGACATTGTAGGGGTCATATTTCTTGGATATCTGAGTAATTAAAGTCTTGTCACATAGCGAATTCTACTCCACTGCATACAGATGTTAGCCAAAAACAAAACAAAACAAAAATTTTGAGAAAAGCCTTTCTTCATATAAGAGAAAAACATTCTTAATGCAAAAATCATAATGATGTAATCTTTTTTGTATTGTAATAGAAGACTGTAAGAAAATTAGACAATTATTACCTGCATAACTTCTCCCTGTACTCATACAAGATGATACAACTGTCCATTTATCAGTTGTTGGGTTATAATATTCTACTGATGCCAAGTTACAGGAACCATCATCTCCTCCGACTACATATAACAGACCATTAACAGCACAAACTCCTTTAAGAGATTACACAGAGAAAAAACAATTATTTTAAAAATTTGGATGAATAGGAATATGCCTACTCATATTTGGTAAAGTGATCCAGAGACACTTAGTTCCTTAAGGAGGCAAAAAGAGAAAATGGTGAACAGGGAAGAAATTCCTTTTATTTGTGAGAGTCTAATACCACTTCTAAGCTCTTATTCATGTCATTTATGCAGTAGTTGCTTTATTTTTTGCATTGCTTCATTTAATCTTCAATATAACTTTATAGGTGAGACGCTGTTTTAATCCTCACTTTATTTTTTGTAAATAGAAAATTAAAGGTCAAAGAAGTTTAGTAACTCTCCCAAAGTCAATTTCTTAGGGGATCCTACGGACCAAATATCTATTAGTAACAGATAAAAATGATTCTAAATTTTAATTATTACACTGACTGGTTAACTATTTTATCGCCTTCAAAAGGGAAGAACAATATTATTGATTTCAGTATCATTAGACTAACTCATGGGTTTTTGGGGGGGTTTTTTTGCAGAAATTCAAAACATCTAGAAAAGTATAAAGAAAAGATCACCTCTAATCCTATAACATTGAAATTGTGATTTCTACTCTTGCTGATGCTTTTCTATGCATGCATACTCAGACACTTCTTTTTTATCCCCAAAGTAGCTCATACTACACATGCTATTTTATTACCCACTCCCACCATACAACTTGGACATTTCCCCAAATTAATAAATACAGATCTACATAAATTTTAATGACCATAGTCTTTCATGTCTGATGATACCATAATTTATTGTCTTTGATGGATATCAAAATTTTTTTTACTGATGGATTTTAAGTTATTTTCAGTATTTTTGCTCTTATCAATAATGTGGTAATGAACAAGGATTCCCTCTTGCATACTTTTTTGCATACTTGTGTATTTTAATAAAAATTTTTACAAATAAAATTTCTGAGTCAAAAGATAAACACCTTGTAAAAGCTCTTTATTTCAATTTTTTAAAAAGGCATATTAAATAACTTTAAACAAGACTCAGAGCTATTATGAACTGATACTAGAAGGCATCAAAAAATCCAAAAGGATGCTGCCTACACACCCGTCTCTACAGTTTTGTAAATAGTTTTGCTAGCAAAATTAATACATCCTTGCAATTTTTAACATAACAAAATAATGAGCCCACTCTCCATATAGCCTTTAAAAGTGCATATGCAATAGTATCTTCTGTGCAAATGGAGTGGATCCTCTTTACTCAAATCGTATTACTATTCTAACCTCTTCAGAGGAAGCAACTTCATGCCATTTTACAGTAGTTCAAATACTTGCAAAGCAATTGGAGGACAATTACAGCTCTACATATACAAATTATCTCCTTATCCTTTTGGCTCACAGAAATTAGCTAATTTTGATTTGAAAGCAATAAAACATGGGTGGAGAAAAAAATAAGATTATTCCACACTTTAGGAAAATAATAGTGAAAGTTCAAATTGCAAATAAATTCCCTAACCCAGGAAGGCACATGCACATATTCCTGTGACTTTTCTAACTGAATATGTACTGGGTCAAGCACTCATTCTACCTGGGGCCCAGTTCTGTAGGCCTTTACCATGGTTCTTGACTATCTAGAGCTAAGAGGTTCTTAGCACCTCACCAAATACAACTGATTGAATGACGTGTACGTTCAAGTAGAATTATAAATTCTGTTCTGTTGTTGACAGCCTTTGCAGTCCCACATATTTAGTTTCCCACAGTAATCACAATTAAAGAGAAACTGCAAGGAGCATTGAGGAGGGCAGCGCATGCATTTCGCATCATCATCCAGTGGTGTACAGTGAGTTCAAGAATCATCAGGAACTTTTATGGACCATGGAAAATGGCATGAAGACACTGGCATTTTAAAGAAGACTAGCATTTGCCAAAAAGATTATCTAGTTATACTAAATATATTTTTCATTTCTATTTCCCTTTACGGATCTTCTTTTCAAGTAGTCAGTTCCCTATTAAAAACCTCAGCTTTCCTAAATTATTATTTGTTGTTGTTTTTCTAGGTTTTCCATTTTCTAGAAACCCTGAACTGTATTAAATTAGGGTTAACTTCTTTGGGCTTCCCCTCCAGATTCAGATAAACAACTAGCTTTTTATTCCACCCATAAATATTTATTCAACTAGACTAAATTCCCTGAGAACTGGGATCTCCAATACGTGACATATGGTAGGCACTCAAAAATGTCTGTGGTAAGAATGAATGAATTAAAGTATCAAAGAGGGTTCTTTCTCTAATTTAGTCTCTACATTCATCACCAAAAATAGCCGCTAGTGGAAACTGTAAGTTAACGCAAGTGTCACAACAACCTGCTGTGTTCCAGACACTGTACCAGGCATTCACTATGTAGGATTATTACATAAGATTCTGCCTTTAAAGAGCCAGTCTGTTAGGAAACCCAGATCACTGAAATAACAATGGAAATACACAGTGATACTAGTAAAACTGTAAATGCAAATTCATATAAATTTCATAGAAGTACAGGTACCTGCATTTCTTCGGCACATGTTCATATCTGCCACCTGTCTCCAGGTGTTGGTGGTGGGATCGTACACTTCCACGCTTTTTCGTACTAAAGGGCCATCATGACCCCCTACAGCATACAGTAAGTTGTTTAACACACCGACACCTATAAAACACAAAGAACCAAACTATAGTAAAGGGAAAGGGAGAAGAAATGCATAACACAGCAGGGTTTACTCAAATAACTTGTAATTAAAACTTTTGAAATTATTATTCATAGTACAAGTAAGTTGATACTTAAGCATATAACCTAAGAAATGGAAATGAATAGAATGGACAAATGAGAATCTCATGAAGAACTATTATTCTAAAAGAAAAGCATGCCAAACAGAATAAAAATAATACACAGAGAGGGAAGTCCTTTCACATAATCCTTTTGAGAACAACTTTCATGATAAAAGCAAATCAGTATGGTAGAGGAGATGATGTGACCCTACAGCCAGGTGGGCTGGTTCCTGGAACAGGCCTTTGCCCCACCCCAGGGAAGCATGCAAGGCATTCTCCCCTTATCTGGATCTATCCTCTCCTGTGTTATACATAACCCCTTATCACCTGCCATGTAGGGAGGATATCCACGCCCTCGTGCTACAGCCTGAGACATGCCTCGTAGGTTAAGTTCCCTTAATAAACTCATACTGTAATGCTGGAGTTGTCAGTCCCTTTCTTTTTTCTCTTAGCCCCGGGAATTTTTACATAAGAAGTATTAAAGCACAAAATTTGTAAGAAATGGATATGAAGAGACTTGATTACTAAGCAAGTCCCCTCTAAGCACTAAAACCAAAAAAAATATATCTACTGAAAACATTTATCCGTCAAGATATATGTGCTCCAATGTTCATTGCAACTTTATTTACAGTGGCCAAGACATGGAAACAAGCAGATGATTGGATAAAGAGGATGTGGTATATTTACACAATGGAATAATATTCTGCCATAAGAAAAGATGAAATAGTGCCATTTGCGACAACATGGGTGGATCTTGAGATTATTATGCTAAGCAAAATAAGACAGAAAAAGTCAAGAACTATGATTTCACTGATATGTGCTATATAAAACTGAAAACAACAAAAGAACAAGAAAAACAAATGAAGAAACAAAACTCATAGACACAGACAATAGTTTAGTGGTTACCAGAGGGTAAGGGGGGAGGGGGAGGTAGATGGGGGTAAAGGAGATTAAATATATGGTGATGGAAAGAGAACTGACTCTGGGTGGTGAACCACAATGTGATATATAGATGATGTATTACAGAATTGTACATCTTAAATCTATGTAACTTTCTGCTAACAATTGTCACCCCAATAAATTTTAATTAAAAAAAAAACACACTAAAAGAAATGCCAAACAATATAATTAAATGAAACAGAGAAGCTTTTAATATAGCACTCAGAAATTTTACAAAGTGAAATTTAAGTGCAGCTACCTACCACTACCTGCATAATTCAAAAGACGTTTTAACAGTGTCATTAGAATCAGTGTGTGTGTATATATATATTTTTTTTCCCTCCTGAAAACATAAAGAGATGTGAACGCATCATTTTACTTGTTTAATTCTTTTCCATCATTTTTGTGCCTCAGGTGCTAAATGAGGCTCCTCCTCACCTGCCCCGCTCCGCCTGGTACTCATTTCCGCTATGTAGGTCCACTCGTTCGTTGTAGCATTATAGCATTCTACTGTGCTCAGACACTGACGTGAAGCTCCATCATAACCCCCCACAGCGTAGAGCAAACCTAAACATGGAATCACAAAGAAAGCCGCATTCATAAAAAGCTTTTTTTTCAAGTCAGAAGATAAAATATGTTCCTCCTCAGTAGTAGAGTTTCCCTTTAAAGTATTATTGATTTTTATGGAGTATCAAGATCTTGCCTAATGGTCAGAGGCGGAGTTACCAAATCACATTATGAAGATCTGCAGGGTATATATATATGATGATAGTAATTTAACATTTTCATCAGTAATCTGACTGATAGAACAGAAAGTACACTCATTGTATCTTTGGATAACGCTGTTTGGTAAGTGAACAACACCCTGGGAAACAATTAAATACCAAAGTTAGCTTAGTAAATTAAAAAAAAAGTTAAATCAAGAGTTAGTACCAGCGTACAATGAAATATTATTTGGCAATAAAAAGAAATGAGATACTAGTAAACGTTATGGCATGCATGAACACTGAAATGCTAAGTCAAAGAAGCCAGTCACGTACTGTATGATTTCATTGATATGAAATGTCCAGAAATGAGAAATTTATACAGAAAACAGAAAGTAGAGTAGTGCTTGCCAATGGCTGGTGAAGGTGGGGATGATAGCTAAGGGAGTAGGGCTGCTCTCTGGGGTAATAAAAATGTTCTAAAATTAATTGTGATGATGGATTCACACTGAATTGTACATTTAAAATGGATGAAGTGTATGGTATGTAATTTATCTCTCAATAAAACTGTTTAAAAAAAGTCAGTGCAGAGAATTATACCCACCGTGGGGAGTGGGTGTGACAACCCACAAATTTACTGAAGCAATTAAAAAAAAAAAACAATCACACTAAAAAATAATACTTATAGCTTTTCTTAAACTCTGTTGGGGACAAAGTAGAATGTAAGTAATTGTGGCAACCCATCCCTTAAATATTAAACAGGCCTTGTCCAGATATAAATTTTGCATATATGCCATCTGACTTGTTCTTCAAACAATTGTATTAATATCAGTTAACAGTTTTATATAGGTTACACATGCAGCAAGAGACAGAGAAAGAGAAAGGAAGAAAGAAGGCAGAGGAAGAGAATGAGGTACAGAAGGAGGAGGAGGGAGGGGCTAACATGGGAGACAGAGGGCCTTACACAGGTTAGTTTATAGCGACAAGCGAACGTTAAAAAGAGGATAATTTAAAATTTTACAGTAACTACGACTTTCCCTTTCTAAATGATCCCTTGCTCGCCCATGTAGAAGACTGGTGTTCAGGTCATTGGAAGAATCACTCCTGACCATCGAGAAGCCACATGTACCTGGCAGCGTTCCCCAGCAAAAAGCCTCAGCACCTACCTCCAACGACGCCGACACCAACGCTGCTCCTCCTCGTGTTCATGGGGGCCACGTGAAACCATTCATTAGACTTTATGTTATACGCTTCCACGGATGATAAACCTGCAATAAAGCACACGGCTCTTCACTGCCTCCTCTGGAAACAATGCAATGTAAATGTTCCTTCATATATATTACTGGGGAAAAATACTTCAGGTATGTTAACCTGGGCCAAAATTGAAAGAGAAAAATGATGGAATGTAAACATACTGATTAAGTGATAAATCGGAAGAACTTCTTTTCCAGAAGACTCCTCCCCAAGCTACTGACATTTATTAGCTTTTTAAAGTTGGTAAGATGACTGATACTGATGCTTAAGAAAGAAAATCTACACACTGACCACTCTTAAAGCAATCCTCAATGGAATTTTTAATCTTTATGATACCTGTTAAAACACTCAGATATCTCCTAATTGTGCCACGGTTTGTTCTGTCGTCAAAATTGCTATGTTAATTCTAACCGCAATGTGGAAAAGACAAAAAAGGAAATTACCTGTACTGCCATCAAAGCCTCCCACTGCATACAACAATCCATTTAATACAGCAGCGCCCAAAGTGCTTCTTCGGTCTCGCATGTTAGCTACACTGGTCCACTGATCTTTCACAGGGTCATAGGAATCTACAGTGCGGACTCTTAAAGAACCATTAAAGCCACCAACAGCAAAAACCAGCCCAGCCATGTAGACCATCCCTGCAAAAGAAATACAGCAGTTAATGATGAATATGCGACTGAACTGCCATGACTATCTGAAGACTGCTTTACAATATGTCACAGCTATGGTCAGAATATAAGTTATTTTTAGGAGAATGACAGAGTAGGTGCTAAGAAGCGCTATTCATTAGCAAGAATGTGTTAACAACTAAACTGTCCTCCTTTCTAAGATGATTAAAATTTGCAATGGCATGGGATGAGGTATTTACAGACTTTAATGAGCGAGTATTTCCCAGCTCCTTGAATCTGTGTACATCTCCCATGGCTTTCAATTTTGGATCTTCTACTCTGTATGCTTATCCTTAATTTGCATAACATGCTCTCAGTTTATCATGTTAGTGGGCTACATCGGGGTCGGTAAATTACAGTCTGCAGGCTATTTTTATAGAATCCAAGAGCTAAGAATGGTTTTTACATTCTTATGTTTTTTACTTCAAAAAGTGGTTGAAAAACCACCAAAAGAAAAAGAATTGTTCTGTGACACATAAAAATTATATAAAATTCAAATTTCAGCATCCATAAATAAAGTTTTATTGAAACACAGCCCCACCCATTCATTTCCGCAGTGTCTACTTTTGCACGGCAGCTGCACTTGAGTAGCTGTGACAGAGGTCGTATAACCAACAAAGCATAAAAGACTTACTCTGGTTTTTTAAGAAAAAATTTGCAGACCTCTGGACTAAAGAGATGTTACAGGGTCCCTAGACAGAGACACCAGATTGCTAGCCTAAGGGGTTCAACCATCTTTTCACCGTCCTGAGCTTTTCATGCTGTTCTCCTTATCTGACAAGCTCCTGTCACCATCCACTCTGCTTCCTTCAAGTGTCAAGCCCCCGTGAAAGTTCCATTCTCTGTGGGGCCTTTCCTGAACCACTTTAACCGAAAGGCATTACCTCTAGCTCCTGAACCCCTATAGCAAACACACCAATTTTAAGGTTAATAAATTTTACAGTCTGCCATTATCATCCTTTAAATTGTTCAAGTTTTTATTGGCCTTAAATTCTGTAGTGTTTATGTTACTGGTGCAGCTTGAGGGCAGGCACGGTGCCCCACAGCTTTCTGAATCCCAGTAGGAAGAACAGGAATCACCAGCTCTAAGTGTCTGACTAGCTCTGTGTTTCATGTGAGGTCATCAGGCAGGGCGAGCACCACGACCCCCTCCTGTCTTACCCTCTGGTGCTGTATCACCCTCCAGCCCCCAGAATGTTCACGGATGTGCAGTCCTTCATATGGCATCAACATTTTACTGCTCAAATGAGGCTGCCTGTACTGGCAGCTCCCTGCCAGGGAAAGGAATGGCTTTTCAGTCCCTTGTTCAATCACGAAATGAATACTCAAGCTACTTTCTAGCAAATCCAGAGTGTCTGAGGAGAGCTATGTCCAATGCACAATTTAGGCAGGCAGAGAACTAGCAGATGATTAAGGATAACCACTAGATTTCCTGAGCACCCCCAAGAGCAGGGAGTGTGGTGGATCTCCTGGGAGAGCCTGGGAGCCAGTAAGCAGTGACACAGCAGGCAGCATGTTTCAGTATGAAAATGTCCTCAAACCAAAATCATAAGTATCACTGGGAAACGTTCACTGCAGGAATCTGGGCCACTGAAATGTGCCTTTTCTTTTTGCTACAAATAAAGCAAAACAAAAACCTATCATATCTTAGTGACAGTATAGCATGCTTACCAAGTATTAGGGTATTTCAGGTGACAAGGAGGAAAAACAATAAATGAATCAATGCATGAGGTGAGATTCCCCACCCCCAAACATTCCAGGTGGAGAGGGGGTGAACTCAAAGAACTAATCGCTCCCCAAAGTTATAGGGAACCAAAGCTCCCAGAAGTTTGAGTAGTTTGGCCAAGATTACAGTTAGTTAAAGGGCATCAGCTCTGATCTAAAGCGGGTGGAGTCATGAGGGCACAATAAAGATAAAAAGATAAAATTCACTCATGTGCAGTATGCTTTGGAATGGATCCAATGTAATGACTTATGGTGCAATGAAAAAATAAATGAATAAAACTGTACCAGGAATCCGATATGAATTAAGGAACCAATTACAAATATCAAGGACAATTCTATTTCCAACAGTAACAATAAAGAAAAAATACCA